GGGAGGCGATGGACGACTGCCTCGCCTCCACCCACTTGGGGGGGTTCAGTCCCATGTAGACGCCCGGGCTCTGACGAGGGGATACGTTCCTGCGCCTCTCGGACGAATTTCCTGCGTGAAAATTTCATCGTTTTTTCATGACTCGAGCTGATCCATCCGCGAGGTATTGTCGCAGAAAATCCGCAAGTCACTCACCAGATTATTTAGTACCTCTTTCCTTTCTTTTAGGGAAAGATCGCGACTCATTCCCATGCCTCTTTCTTTAAGAGGTGACACGCTTTTCCGATGCAAATGAGGAAGGAGCGCATTTGCTTAACCGTCGAATTTCGTACGCAAGTCACGCAGCCGTCGTATTTCAAGAAAATAATAAAATTTTTCTAAATATGTAAATAAATTTCATAAAATTATATAATTATTCTTAAAAAAAAAATATACACGTACTTTCAGAACAAAAGAGGAAATCCAGGTTTACATACTCTTAGCCGTAAATTTTTCTTGGCAAATAATCAGAAATTTACCAAATTTGTTTAAATCGTGTATCATGCAAAACCATTGAAATTTTCGCGCAGGAAATTCGTCCGAGAGGCGCAGGAACGTATCCCCTCGTCAGAGCCCGGGCGTCTACATGGGACTGAACCCCCCCAAGTGGGTGGAGGCGAGGCAGTCGTCCATCGCCTCCCTACCGTCCTCCAGCAACGGCACCACTCCGGGTTCCTCCCCCATCTCTGTGAGTTCTTCTTCCGCCCTTTTTTCCAACGCCTTGGAATAGGGTTCGGCTCGACTCGAAGTGGAACTCGTGAAAGCTGAGCTGTCAGGTTTTTTTAAATATTAAATAAAAGATGCGGTTTTGAAATGCATCCTAGGGGAGTTTTCCTCTAGATGAAGTAATGCCAAATTTCCCACGCAGATGTCGGCTGCTAATAATTCTCTGGTCGCTTTCAATGTTTTTCCTATCACGGGAAGGGCTAGGTAACCGTAAATATCCGATGATCCTTCTCATTATATTCCAGGGACAGATAGTTAAATCTCAGGTTGTGGTGACCGCTGACAGGCATTTTAGCATCACTAACTTGGTGAATTATTTATGTAATTAGTGCCTTAGCAATTTTCGTGGTTATTTGAAGCACTTCCATCTGGAATTGATCAGTTAATTGAAAACGGCACTCACTGCGTCCCAAATCGTACTGATGGAAATGCTGGGATATGATCCGATTTGGGAATGCCAATTGAATCATTAGTTAGTGAGGGTGTCCTTGACCTTTTCACGTCCTTCGCCGTGCTTTAACTAGTGCATTAAGCTCACGTGACTGTTCCAACGCAATAGCTAGATATTAACTGATTCATATTTATGATGGTATTTTTGGAAAAGATAAGGCCGCACTTTCCCTTGCCCTCATTTTAACGTTTCAAATAATTGAATTGCAAAAAATGAATAATATGTATCAAATAACATTACGAAATTTCAAGTCGTTACATTATGTCCCAAATTCTCGGTTATCAAATGTTTTTGCCATAATCAATTCAAATACTGCGAACTTGACAAAAAAA